CATCTTCAGTGCTAGAAGGGAGTGGGGTTTGCTCTTCTAGCACTGAAGATGTTACCTAGCCAGGTAACAAAATGTTTGCAAGAAAACAACCATGCTCAGAGAACCCCAAGGACTCCATATTGAACTTGATTCAGAACAAAATCCTGCAGTATTTGGCATCCTGTGGCAATGCCACGCTTCATGGCTAGACAAATACTGTATTAATCTTTAAGTTAGCAATGACGGCCATACTGTGACCCTTTGGTAGATGTATATCTAGCAATATCCCAGATTTTTTTACTCTTCCAAAGTTAAAACGTTGTTTCTGGAACTGAGGAGTTGATCAAACATTCTCATTAATGGACTGGGATCAGGTGGGACTTCCTGAAAAGTAGCAATATAATAAATTAACTACAGTACTACATTGCAATTTCTGCAGTATCAAGTGGTGTATTTCCATCAGGTCAAACTTGACTCCTGGAATGTGATATGTAAGTCATTTAGCATTGCCTTTTTCTGTGGGTTTTAAACATTATTAAAATTATTTCTCAGTCTAGTCTACAACTCTGAGATTTCCTAATAGTATCTCATACAAGTAGTAACCAAGTCCAAGCCAGTTTGTTTATCATTTTTAAGATCGGCCAAGATTGGGTAGATATGCCACCTACTTATGCTTGCTTCAACATTGGTTAATAAAATCATTTGCAGCACTGGGCTTTCCCCTAACAAATCTGCAGCTGGAAGAAATTCTCTATCAGTTACTGCAGGGCTTTCAGATTTGGCCTGCAAAACTCTGAACAACTACTAGATGGCAGCAAAGAAATATAGATAAAACCCTCTTTGCTGCTATATCATGGATATCTGAATTTTTGCAGCCCTAATTACTGGTAAAAAGCCTCCATCTTTCATCTGTCTGAACTGATAAGACTACAGTCCAACATATGTAATATTTCCTCATTAATTATGTCTTCACTAATTATCATCTTGGGTCATAATGCTGTTGTTTTAGCCTTGTAATTAAAAACTCATCGAGAAGATAGACAATGCAAAATTTCATACAAGTGGCCAAGAAGGCTGGTAGTGGAGGAAATTAGACCACCTCTTTCTCTCTAACTTGGTTGTAGTGTTCCTTTTGGAAAAAGAAACTTTTTTCTCAGTGACCAGGATAGAAACACCCTCCCACCCAAATGAATTGTTAGTTGGGTAGCCTTAAGGAAGGAAGGAAGATGTGAGACAGAGAGAGACTCAGTTATTCCACTGTCAGCACAGAAGTACAGGATATAATTGTTTCACAGTAGTGGTAACATTTTTTGCTGGATAGTTACTTATTTAAAATATTGTTTTTCTGAGATTTCTAAGAGAAACAATCTATACTTCCTATTTATAATTTCCTGTCTGAGGTAATGGTATATACACACACCTAACCCTCTCTCTTTGCACAGTGTTTCTATTATTGATGTTTTTTATTGGGTTATTGTGCATGTTTTATTTTATTACTATTATTAATTTAAGTTGTTTTTGAACTGCCAAAAATCTAGTTCAGTGTTTCTCAACCTTGGCAACTTTAAAATGTATGCACTTCAACTCCCAGAACCCCCAGCCATCAAGGCTGGCTGGGGAATTCTGGGAGTTGAAGTCCACACATCTTAAAATTGATTGGCCTAGTTGATTGCAATGGGTACAAATTGGATTGGTGGATGGATAAATAAATAAATAGTATGCAAGTGTGACAGATGCCAAGGCCAACCAAAGACCTTCATGACTGGATAGAGATTTGAACTCAGATTTTACCAGTCTATGATTGCTTATACATGAGACCTTTTATTCTGCAGTTGTCCTGCTTTAAAAACAAAGTTCTACAATGGATTCAGAAGTCATCTTCTATTTGTAATCATGCAGTGTTTCCCACTTTTTCTTCCATAATTTTTTCATCCCAAAACAATCTAGTAAGGAAGAAAAATAAGATTTTTGATTGATAGCACAAGGATCTGGCTGGCTGGAAATTGTCCTTATCCTCCAGGATCTATACCACGGTTTCCCAAACTGCAGTTCTGACTATGAATCAAGATAAGGATGGTGATAAATTACCCAACCAATATTTGTACTAAAAGTCCTTGTTGAGCTTTTTTAAAATTTTTGCTTCTAGAGAAGGGCATCATATATAAGATTCTATGTATGTATAGAAAGTTACTTTAGAAAAAAAATCTCTTTTCTCAGAAACCCCATCATCAAAGCATAAAGAGAATTGCACAAGCAAAATCATGGAGTCCTGGAATTTGTGATACATTTTTGGAAGGCTGGGAAGCTATTTCTGGAGTGGAAACAGGGCAACTGTGTGTATTGAATGCACCATATAATCTTCTGAGTGGTAGTTTAGTGACACCTTATGAACACTGGCCACTGTAAACTTTTTCCAGCCTTGGAGCTTGCTGCAAAATTAAAAGATCACATTCAATAAACATAAAAAGTACATTTTAAATATATTTTTGTGTAGTAGTATTTTATACAGATTTGTTATATATTCATAGAAAATTTAGATTTCTCTCCTTGGTGGAAATATGACTATTTCTCTCATAGAAGTTTGTTGGAAATGAGATTATTTAATGTACTTGGAGATACAGTCCAGTACAATTCAGTTATTAGGAGCCTCTTAAAAGAGGTCCTTTTACCTAAGATTGCAAGTGCGGAATGCAGATGATCTTCATCAGTGCAATTTCATAGTGTCCAATGAATCAAGGAGAAGATTTCATATCTTTGTAACTGACAAAATGTTATAACCCCACTGTATTATTATCAACTCTAACCCGAGAGGGCTTTTAAACAACACACATGAATATTCAGTTTGGTCTCTGAAGTACAAAATATGCTGATCTTGCTCAATCATCTTGTGGCAATTTCTTGTATGCATATTAAGCAGCTGTTCGGTCTCCTTTTAACTGTATATCAAACTGGGAAAATCCTTGAACTAGTTCCAAGTCTGCTGAAAAACAAGTCAATGACATTCACCTCTTTATATTGTTGATAACTTGTATGACAAAATGTATTGCAAACAATTCTTCACCAATTAACTTGGAGAAAAGGTTTGAAATACTTCATTCTTATATTATTACATATTAGTATATTTTTAATGTAAGTAACAATAATAAAATGAGACATACTGCCCTTAAAGTAATAGATGTGAAAACTGATCTAGGTTCAGATCCCCTGACAGGTGGTGAGGAAAGAGGAAAAGACTAGGGAAGGGCCAGGACTGCTTCATTGTGAGGGTGACCACATTTCCAAGAGTATAGCTAAGATACATTAATTTGTACAAATGTATACGTTAATGCTATTCCACAATCTCAAATACTCATGAGAGTGCAGTTGGAGCTGCATATCTGAGCTGCAAAATTCCCAATCATAATTAGATGGCAGCCATTTTTACTACAAAATCTGCAGCTGGAAGCAATCCTGTATGAAATACTCAGAGAATCAGGGTGGGGTAGTGGTGAAAGTGTGAGAGACTACAGAGGCTCACTGAATGACTTTGGGCCAGTCACCCAACCAACTTCAAAGGATGGCTGTGGTGGTGAAAGAAGAGACAGTCTGGAGCTCCAGAATGAAAGTTGGGAAAGAATCAAATATATGCTGTACTGCTGTCAGATGTGGGCTTTAAAAAATCCAAAAAACCACTAGAAGGCAGCAAAGACGTATAAAAAAATCTTGACTTTGCTGCCACACAGTGGTCATCTGGTTTTTTGCTACCTGATTTGGTAGCCCTACATAAATGATATAGAATTGCTTCTAGTTACAGATT